TATTTCCAAATTGACATTCTTTCAGGTATTAGGTTATGTTCCATAAAGTGTAAGAGTATATACAGTACTCTGTGGGTTCAAATGTATAGAAATTGTGACTTCAAACATCAGTCATTATCTGGAAATTTTCCTGCTTAATTGTTTAGGGATGTTACAGATTCTCTGAACAACCTTTGGTACTTAATATAATCCACCCCAGGCCACTTACAGAGCAACAGCAGGCAAAATAAAGCTTTATTTTATTTTTACACTTTTAAGTAGTGTGAAATGTATTGTCAGTTCCCCTTGGGACTCCACATTCCAGTTTGATGATTTAATTAAATTATGTGTAATTGGCTTTCCAAATAATATTTTAAATAGATAAGGATTTTTATTGCCCATGAAATATGTGGATTATCATAATTGTGGATCATCATAATTTTGTTACTATTTCTTGCTCCCAACACTCTTCCGGTCTAGAACATTTAAACTAAATTGTACTAGTGATGTACGGGACTACTTTGTAGGCAGTGTGGAAACACAGAATGCCTCTTGGAGCTCCACAAGACATAAGAAAAAGTGTATCTGGGTGAAACAACCCTTGGGAAAGATCTGCAGATGCTCAACTGAGAAATTTGAAGGAGAAAGGCCCATGGCTTCTTTTCTCCCCATCTCTGTTTTGGTGGTTTGCACCATCAGTGGTGGTGACAGGATAGCCACATGTACAATTAAAAATAAAAGAAGAAATCTAGGTCAGAATAAGACTTCAAATTGTTTCTATGACTGCCATGTTTCTTTGTTCACTGCTTGCTTTGCTATTATTATTATGGTTTTACAGTTGGTGAGCTGGGTGTTGTAAAACATGGAAAAGAAAGATGGCAACCTTCCTCTTGCTTTAGTTTTTCAGTAAAAATTCCTTTTCCTTTAACTTCCAATGCTAAGCTCTCCTCTCACTCTGCACTTTTCTCCTGCTGCTCCATACAACTTTTATTTAACAGCACCACATTTCATCGTGAACCCCTAACCAAGCTCTTCTGTCCAGTATCTCTTCATCCTTCTCTCTATCTCACCTAGTAGAAGTCAAAAAATGTCTTTTGCACTTCTCAAGATTGACTCACAATATCTGTCTTCAAGAACAGACAGTGAACCAAGATATCTTTCAAAAGCAAGTTTAGTTAGTTAACATAATACAGTAAAAGCTGTGTTAGCCAGCATTCTACTATCTGGAATACTCTATTTACCAGAGTTTCTGCCCAGATGGACACAGGAGGAAGCGTTCGCACGCGGCGGCAGCCACCACCACCCACCATCCTGTGCTGCTGCTGCTCCACATGCAGCCAGCGCCACCCCCACCTCCACCCTGCTCCGCAAAGGTTTTCAAAAAGGTTGAAAACCCCTGTCTCAGATAACCAGAATTTTTAGATACCTTGCTCCCCACTTACCCCACTCATGCCAGTTAACCAACTTTTACTGTAATAAGGAGAAAGAGTTTAACCTGGTTGATTCTGCAAACCATACAGAAGTCAAGATTAAAAATCTTAAAGTCCCTGGATTACAAGTATAAAATGTGAATAGTTACATATCTGGAAGTATTAGTCAAGGCAAAACCTCTATGCCTTATCAGGTGACACTACCCATTCTTATGCATCTCCTTCATTACTCACTGAAAACATGAACACATGTAAACTGGAGGAGAAAAAAAAATCAGTAAAGAGAAGAAAGTTTCAGGCAGTTTGAGAGAGACCCCTTGGAGCCCCATCTTTTAAGATTTTGGTGAAAACAGAATAAAGTCCATAGAGTTTTGATAGGTGGTTTCACCTTCCTTATGTCAATTTATTCTTCTGGCATGGCACTGATGTGGAGGGAAATGCTGCTTTCTCTGTTCCTTTAACCCCATACCAGTCCCCTTCATCTTACTCTGTTTACCCAGTGCCAGTTTCATTCACTTCCAGAGAATCAGCCAGTAATGGCCACAGTGTAATCCAGTATAGTTCAGTCAAAACAACATATTCCCTAATAGAGAGAAAGTACAGAAAATAAATTAATGGTATGTACATACCCATCTTAATAAATACAATAAAAATATTTCTAGATAGGTTGTATTTGAAAATTTAGAGACAACTACAGGGTTTTAAAGTAAACATAAGTAATTCAGGCTATTAATAAGCCATGAGTACAAATATGTTCAGTAAACTTAAAATAAAATGTGCAAGTCAGTACATATTGTCCATAAAATTCCCAAATATTTTATATGTTTTGAGAGGAAGAAGTGTCTAATGTAATCACTAGGATATTATACCAATGTGTACTCTTAATCTTTTTGTGGACTGTAATCAAATGCATGTATAGTAAATCCCTGTGATGCAAAGAAGGTTACTAAGTCAACATTTTGAGAACTAATGACAACTACATGAAAGCTGATAATCAGCAACATTCAGTGGGTGAACAAGCTGTTTAAACAGCGTGGGAGCCATCCTACATTTGAGGTTATATGCAAATGCTAATTATCAATTACTTCTTTATATGTGACATCTATTTTTGGCTTGCTGAGTATTTTGAACACATTCTAGCTGGGACTGACCCCCTAGTATCTCATTATTTTCTTGTCATCTCCCGTGACTAGTCTCTCCAAAGTAAACAGCTTTCTTGTTTCTTTTAATTTGCATATGTGCCGAGCTGTCTTCCCAGCTGCTGCCATAAGAAACTGAAATTCTTCCAGCCACTCCAGTTGTTTTCCTTTTTGTGTAACTAATATTTAAACATCACACTGTTAGAGCTATTGTGCCATAAAGCATGCTTTCCCTGAAGGTACTTGCGTGTGTGTGTGTGTGCGTGTAAAAATGTTTACCGTTAAGCCTGTTTCTAACATAAAGTAATTTGAATATGAATATGAGTGCAACAGTCATCACTCGAGCAATTCCAAAGCCACCCACTGTGGCTTTTGAAAGTTTTTGTTTTGTGTGTAATCTTGTGCTGAGAACACCACAAATTGCAAACAGGCTCCTAAGTTGTAAAGTCCTAGAAGTGACTGCTTCTTAAAAACACAGGAAAAGCATAATATCCAGACAGTCAGTCCATCACCCTTGACCCTATAGACTCACTATCTCCTTTTATTTTTTTAAAAACATGCAAGACTTAATACTCACAACTTCTATTTTTCATTAGTGTAGTAATCATAGTGTGTGCTTGATCCTGTTTCCAGTTAATTAAACTAATTAATGACAGATGCCCAGATACAGAGTAAAATTCAGGCTGGAACAGAGGGTTCCCACATGGTCTATACATATTAAGTGTTTTGGCCCTTTGTAAGAAATGAATTTTACCCAGAATTTTTATTGTTTTGATCCCATCTATATTAATACAGATTCTTAGTTTTGCATAGCAATAAAATATTAAGGGCTAAGCAGCTAGATCCTCAGTTGGTGTAAATTGATGCAGCTTCTTTGACTGAAGTGGAGCTATAATCAGTTATTGAACCTGGCTTACTCCTCTGCGGGTTAGGGATAGGTGCACCTTGTGTCACAGGATCAAACACCCCTTTTGAGGTGAATGGGAAAGCTCTTCCTTGGGACTCCTCCAAAAAGCAGCCTTAATTGGTCTTCCTCTCCTGAAGGAGCCCCTGAAGCCAGCCCTGTTGTAGGTTCTTGAGGAGCAAGCCTCTGCTCTGAGACCCTGGCACTTCCCAGACCCTGGCTTCCCAGTGATCCATAGCACCCCCACCTGTGAGCTCCTCTTAGTCACCTCCTTTTTCTTCTTTAAAGAGGAGGGGTCCCAAACAGCACAGTATCTGCTCCAATACAAGACTGTATTGGGCCATTTCAGTTGCTGCTGTCCTCACTTGGCCTTTACTCAGTCCTACCTGGGACCATTTCTTTACTCCCTGTCCACCTTGGGACTTTTCTCCCTGTCCATCCTGGGACCTTCTCCCAGTTCTGCTGTGGGATGTTCTTTCTCTGTCCAGCTCTCTCAGAACCTCGCTCCTCAGGCCCAGTCAGCCATGCTTGCAAGAAAACAGTTACAACACTGTAGTAACATGATGACAACACTCACCCAGAACAATGAAACATATAATCATGAGAATCCAATGAAGGGGCAGTGTCTGGGCCCTGCTGCCAGTCCCAGACTGCCATCTTCCCCTGGGGTGAAAAGGGCTTATGGATATCGACTTAGAGAACTATTTACAAGAATTATTTACAGTAAAGCCTGCTTACACTGCTCCCGCACTGCCCCAAAATGTTCCGTACAAGAAATGTAAGCTCGAACCCAGCCACCTAGCCTCTTCTGTCAAATCTTGTGAGTAATGGATGAAAATAAAGAAAACTTTGGAACTGACTAAAGTAAAGCTGAAAAAAGGCATTCAGAATAAGTGTGGTCATACAGGTTCACATTGGTGGAACAGTATATTTATAATGATGTAGTGTTGCAGTTAAATTTCTCTTTATGTGGACAAGATGGTACCTTAAACAAAAGTTATGACAAGAAGTAAGATGTCTCTCGTTGTTAAGTACTGCATTTAAATGTGTATTCATTTAATACATTTATGAGCACAAATTGCAGACATACAGATTTGCTTTGTTTTGGGGAGGAAGGAAGGTAGAGGAAAAGAGGGTTGCAACTACTACTATCAAGGGAAAAATGTCCTGCATCTGAATTGTGGATCTGCTAATAACAAAGGAGGTGAATTTCTAAATCAGTTTCTTGTACCCTGCTCTTTAGTTTGTTGTTTCTTTTTAAAGATTTCCATGCTAGATCTTTAGTGTTCGAGATCATTCTGCACTGTATATCATATAAAAATATATTTTGATAGTTCTGTGGTGCAATCAGACAAAGTATTACTTATGCTTTTTTATATTGTTAACAAATCTAGAAACGGGTGAATTATTCAAGGATAATATGTTTGCCATTGGCATTTCTAAGGTTTACAAACAGAAGGATTTCCCAGCGTTGGAACTTGCATTCTAGTATGAGACTTTTTTTCCCCCCTCACTTCTGAATTAAAGGAATGATTGTTTTCTTTCCAGCTGTTGCACATCTGCATTGAAGGCTGGGGAAACTGGCGGTGGTCTGAACCATTCTGTGTGGACAATGCAGGGACCTTTATCAGAACCATTCAGTACAAGGGCAGGACAGCTTCACTCATCATCAAGCTTCAGCAGCTCAGTGGAGTGCAGAAACAAGTAAGTGTGCTTAGAGGCACTCAAAAGAGAATAATTTCTAATCTGAGTAATTTAGATTGTGATTTTTACATAAATAGTGCATGATCAATTTTCATTTTTCTTTTTAATGACAGCAGTATCCATTTTACAATGAGCCTAGCAGGACTTAATGACACACTTTCAGGAGTTTTTATAACTGTGTTATAAGAATTCACTCTGGTATGAATCTTGGCACAAAAAAACCTCAATTCTCAGCACATTTTTTATGCATTTTGTAAAACATCCCTTTGCGTGTTTTATGATTTCTAACAGCACAAAGTTATAAAGTTTCTGCCGCATTTTTGTGCTTTTGAAAAGCAGAAATGGATTTTGGTTTTGAAAAGGCACTGCTCATGCTTTTATAAGAGAGAGTGAGTCAGGTCCTTATTCAGATAAAAGAAGGGAAATAACTTAACCAAATAACAATTTGGAAATGAGCTACTGTACACTGACTTTCCCCATCACGTGTTAAAACCAGTTTCTGTAATAATATTATAATAGCTCTGCATAAATTGGCAGGACCCAGGGCATGTGGTGGACATAACATATTCAGCCCATAGATGTGGGAAAGCACCCTGTGTTGCTCAACAGTAATTCATCTGGTCACAGAGCAGTTTTCCCTGGCTCCACTGGGAGCCCTGATGTCTTTGCTGGTTGAATAACAGCTGTGATGTGCACTCTTAATGATGAAAAGCAAACCAGGATAACACCGTAGTAACATCTTTATGTAGGTATGGCTATTGACATAATGCTGCATTGTATCCTTAAAACAGTGCAGAAGAAGCCAAACATAGTTTCTTGTAAACTGTAATTTATTTTTTCAGAAAACAACAATTATTTGGTCAATTTTTAGATAGCTATGTTTAAAATGTAGTGTTGATGCCGCTTTAGCCTGTAAGCTTACACATGTCCTCATAGCCTGTGAGCTTTTGTTTTTATTCTGAAAGCTTATTGCAGTGTTCATATGGGGTTTGGAATTGAATGGTAAGCTTTAAAACTATAAACACACTGCAAAGACTTGATTGTTTATACAGTGAACTCTAGATAACTATTAGGATATGTAGTTTCAGTATGGTCCTTGAAAAGTATTTTTGTTTGCATCCAAGGGGCTGTAACACTAGAATTCTATAGTGATGACACCACATACTAAGAGTATTGCAATATATTGAGACATCAGGGGAAAGCAAGGACAGAGTTATAACCACAACAAATAATTCCCCAAACTGTAAAGTTATGTGAACCATATATACGTAACACCATACAGGCCATTTTCTTAATTTTTATACACTGTTCATTTCAAACTCATAAATTATTTGTGCATTTTTGGGGGCATCTTAAAGTCTTTGTTTCTTCGAAATTTTCCATGTATTTGGCCAGTCACAACAGTATTTTTCTTCATAAATCAGCTAGAATATCTAAAGCACTCACTCTACACACACCACTTTCTGAAATGCTCAGGGAAAAAATGCTTATTTCTTTCAATATAAAAGTTCATTTGAAACTGGAGTGTCAAACTCATCCAGCCTCATGGGCTGGACGAACATTCCTGAGCCAGTCTGTGGGCCAGACCAGGACCACCCCCTACTCTCCTCCAACCTGCAGAGCCAAATCCAGCTTGTGCCAGATTGGCACAAAGTATATGCCAATCCCAGGGACTGTGCGCTGCCTGCAACACGCAAGCATGACCTGGCACTGTAGACAGCACAGAGGGCTAGTCCAAGGCACTGCATGCAGGCCATGCACTGGACCCCCTTTACCACATGCAGTGCTGAGTCCAGCCCATACCCAAAAAGCCCTGGAGGTGGTACATGCTGTCCATAGCAGGTAGGGCTGAGCTAGTTATGTGTACTGCACACAACATGGGAAACTAGTATGGAGCATGCACTTTATACAACTCCCTCCTGACCAAGTCACTGCAATGGAGCAACAATTCTGCCTTAAATCAGTCCCACACACCACGCGGAGCATGCACTACCCCAGACCTCACTGTGCACATGGGCCACTGTGCACAGGGTGTGGGGCTGAACTTGGCACTGCATACAAATCCAGGGTGTGGGCTGCATATAGTGGGCAGGGCTGGGGCCAGCACATGGGGTCAATCCAGAGACCCATGGGCTGAATTATATAGCTTCATGGGCAAGAACTAGCCCGTGGATTGTATATATGCCACCCCTGATATAATATTATCCAAGAACATTTAAGAGTAAGGCAGTACTTAAGATGTTTAAAAAATTAGTCCTTTGAAGGGTGCCATTGAAAATAAGGTTTTTTTTCTTTTCTATAAACTGGTTCTGTGCAAATTGTCTGTTTTTGCATTTTAGATCGTAATCTGTGGAAGACAAATAGTCTGTAGTTACCTGTCTGAAAGCATTGAACTTAAAATGGTTCAGCACTACATTGGTCAGGATGGACAAGCAGTTGTTAAAGAACATATTGACTGTCTCGCAGCCAAACAGAAGCTACCTTCCTACATTTTAGAAAACAGTGAGCTGACAGAGTTGAGTGTGAAAGCTAAAGGAGATGAAGACTGGTCAAGAGATGTATGTCTTGGTTCTAAACAAACAGAACATAGCATTGTTATCCAGGTAAGAAGTGAACATAGATGTCTAAATATGCTGTTTAAAAATGTCCATGAGTGTTGTCCATATAGATCCTTGATACTGTAGAACCTGCTTAATTCACAATAGCAGGTCACTGAGTAAAGGATGAGCTATGCAGTCCTTTTACTTCTAAGGAGGCACTTTTTCACTCAGCTAGAGTACAGCTGCAGTCCTTTGCAGCTGTTTGTTGAGACTATATGGCTAGGGACAGACATTACACATAAACCAGTTAAGTGGTCAGAAACTGGTTTAAACCTGTAACAGAACAGATGTCCAGTGCACAAAAACCAGTTTGAAAATGGCTGAAACCAGTTTGAGATAAACCTGGTTGAATGTAGTATCAGACTTATCTGATTTGGCTCAAACCAGTTTATGCAGTGTCTGTACCAGACTCCTTGCTGGTTTCATAGAATCATAGAAGTAGGGTCGGAAGGGCCCTTGTAGATCTTCAGGTCCGCCCCCCTGCCTGGGCAGGAGGAAAACTGGGCTCAAATGACCCCAGCCAGGTAGGCATGAAGCTGTTCTTAAAGCCCCCCAGAGTAGGAGCCAGCACCACTTCCCTTGGAAGTCGGTTCCAGATCCGAGCCACCCTAACTGTGAAGTAGTTCCTACGGATGTCTAATCTAAACCTACTCTCCAACAACTTGTGGCCGTTATTCCTTGTTATCCCGGGGGACGCTAGGGGAAACAAGGTCTCCCCCAAACCCTTCTGGTCCCCCCTAGTGAGTTTGTAGATGGTCACCAGGTCCCCCCTCAGCCTTCTCTTGTGAAGGCTGAACAGGTTCAGGTCCCGTAGCCTCTCGTTGTAGGGTCTGCCCTGCTGTCCCCAGATCATGCAGGTGGCCCTCCTCTGGACCCTCTCAGTGTTGTCCACATCCCTCTTGAAGTGGGTTGCCCAGAACTGGACACAGTACTCCAGCTGTGGCCTGACCAGTGTTGCGTAGAGGGGGAGGATCACCTCCTTGGCCCTACTTGAGATGCACCTGCGGATGCACGATAAGGTCTGGTTAGCCCTGCCGACCGTGACCTCGCATTGTCGGCCCATGTTCATCTTGGAATCAGTGATGACTTTAAGACTTTCTGCCTCCGTGCTCTCAAGAAGGGAGTTTCCCATCTTATAAGTGTGCTGCTGGTTACTACTGTCCAAGTGCAGCACCCTGCGCTTGTCTGTATTGAAATGCATCCTGTTTTTGTTAGCCCACACCTGCAACCTATCCAGGTCTTTCTGCAGTCTTTCCCTCCCTACGAGTGTGCCCACCTCACCCCAAATTTTGGTATCATCAGCAAATTTGAACAGGTTGCTTTTCACCCCATTGTCCAAATCGCTGATAAAGAAATTGAACAGCATGGGCCCGAGGACCGAGCCCTGGGGGACTCCGACCCTGGGGTCGAATATGACCCGTCCACCACCACCCTCTGACTACGACCCTTCAGCCAATTCGCAATCCGTCTGACCGTGTAGGCATCGATGCCACAGTCACCTAGTTTTTTAATGAGGATGGGATGGTCGACAGTGTCAAAGGCCTTGCTGAAGTCCAGAAAGACTACATCCACGGTGACACCTGCATCCAATGCTTTTGTGACCTGATAGTAAAAGGTTTAAATTAAACCAGACTCCCCCAGCATCCCAGCATGCTCTCTGGTCTGGATGGGGCACTCTGCTCCACAGCAGAGCTGGCCCTTCCCATCTGCTCCCTGGCTGGAGCTCCAGCAAAGACTGCAGGCACAGCAGGGTCTGCCTGGCTTCCCCCCTGCCTTACCTGCCCCTTGCTGCTGAAGCAAGGATCCCTCCCGGCCTCCCTCTCTCCCTCCGAACTCCCACAGCACAAACCCCAGCCCCACGGACCCTAGGCATGTGGTATGCTAGCTAATGTTGAGAGGTGTCTGTGTGTATATGTCTCCAATTTCACTGGTACAGGCAGACAGAACAGTGATGGCTTAGGGCTTTTTGGAGCTAATCAACAGGTCAGCTGGCAAGCTATTTAAGAAGAGTTTGAACTAATGGAGAGAGGCTATTGTTTTGCTAATGGGGTGATAAACACTGTTATCAGCTCCCTTCTGGTTTGCTTGCTTTTCAGTTTGCTGCAGACAGTATAAAGAAGCAGGGAGAGGAAGATTGAAAAGCTCCATATCATCCAGATGCATGAACTGCACACACCCCTTACCTCAGAGTGCTAGTGGAGTGGGGTGCTGGGGTCTGGCAACACTCCCGCCCCTTGAGCAGCCAGCGGGGAAAAGCCTGGGATGGTGCAAGCAGTCCTTCCTAATCAGAGGTCCTGCTGGGGCCTAGCCATGTACCCCTTAGCTCAGCAGTTTGGAAGGGAAGGGAGGGCTGCTCTAGCATCCCCTGGCTTCTAGCCTGAGCCACTGCAGGCATGTGCCTGAATTTTCTCAGTCCAGAAACAGTCTGTCTGTCTGCTTACAATGCTGTTCAGCCTAGCTAGGTTAGACTAACCTGCAAAAATTGAATCAATTCAGGCTCAGGCTTTTTGAATGTCTGTCCCTAGCCTCAGTGCACATAAACCAGTTTCAAAATGGCCAAAACCAGTTTGAGATAAACTTGGTTGAATGTAGTATCAGCCTTAACTGATTTGGCTCAAACCAGTTTATGCCTTGTCTGTCCCATACCCCTTTCTGGTTTAAGTTAAATGAGACTCCTCCAGCGTCCTGGTATACTCTCTGGGCTGGGCAGGGCTGTCTGCTCCAGCCACGAGGCTGACCCCACCCCTCTGCTCTCTAGCCAGAGCAGGGACCAGCCCTAGCAGAGACAATAAGGGCGTGGCTCCATTAAAGCTAGGTGGGAAGGAAAGGGGTTAATTCTTCCCTCCTTGCCCCCCCTCCCCCCACTGCAGCCAGGGTCTGCCTGTTTGCCAGGGAGCAGAGGGGATGGG